GAATTAGACAAACGTTGCTCAAGCCTGCCTCTCCCCCCCCCAGGAATCAGGATTTCCCCATAAGCCACAACGCATTTGAACGATGGAAGTCATATAGGCGTACACAGTCTAAGCTGCTCCCGTTTCGTTGGCTACAAACCATCATCAGAATTTCATTATGGTTCCTGCGACGTCGAAACCTCACGTTCACTGACACTTTTCCGTGAGCTGGCATTCGCACTCCCGATCCTGAACGAACTGTGTAGACGCTTCATAATCTCATCATGAACTGTCATTAGAGTATTAGCCAAGTCTAGCTTATTTCACTTATTTTTTTCTCCTACAGGCTTTTTGAAAGTGAGGACTCGCCGAACTCTGCCTCCATTTTTACTTTTAACTGCTTATTTCTTAATTTGCAATTATTTTATAAAGATCGCTAACTATTGTCCTAAAAGGACAAATCCCTGGTGGATATGAAACATTCAGCCAATACTATTACTCATTTTTGTACTATAACTGAGCACAGCGTCTTCTAGGTGCTAACAACATAACATTTATTTATGTCATTTATTTAAAATTTCGTGCTTAAGGTCTGGTAGGCAAGAGGCACACTGCAGTTTCAGCGGCAAAACATATGACAAATTAATCTATTAGAGACCCCTTCGATTGTTTCTTAAGCTCGTGTGGAAGTGGAGAGACATATCATAGAAAATAAGTTACTTGATTGTTGGTGAAGAAAAGGTCTTTGGGAAATTGCATAATACACTGCAGCGAGGTACAGGTGATGCAAGAATAATAAGCAGAATAAAGGAACCAAAGTCAACATTGAAGTAGGCATGCCCACTTGATATGTCTACGATCAATCCTTTACATTGGACTTATCTTTTTGAAAGTGCTAGTCACAAGCATAGACAGGCAAGTCAATGCAGTTTAGAACAATAAATAAGTTAAGAATGGAGTAATAAAGACCTTTCTAACCTAACTACGTTCTGGTAGTAAGTGAAAATGGGAATATTTTGAAGTACAGATGTAGATAGCCGGCATGGGATCAGTGAATGTTACAGCAGTAAATGTCTTTTGAAAGGGCAGTTAACGCGCAAGTAACGCATTCTGAGTACTATTTTCGGCTTCCACGGACACGAAAAGAGAGCTAACATTCATTAACAACTGCCGGAATACGCGAACACGAGAGAAATATGAGAGATGTTCTGAAGTTGTATGGGGAAGTTCCATTATAGTTTATGTATTTGTAGACGGAAATTTATAACATGATTCCCCGTCAAATAAAAACCACCATGACATAGAGCTAGGCCGCAAACCTTGCCGATGAAAGATGATACAAGTTTAGTGTATGCTGACACACATATAAACTTCCTAAACATAATAGTCAAAAACATTCATGTAAATAACTCACGATTTTGTAATCTTCAAGCTGCCGTGGGTCGATGCCGTTTGAGTTGTAAATGCTACCGTCACGCTCAATAATGCCGATAACCTTGGCGCCAGCTCGATTGAGGTAGCGCATAGTGTGCAAGCCGACGTTGCCAAGGCCTTGGATAATGGCAGTCTTTCCTCTGATGCCGGTGGTGAGACCACACATACTAGCGTACTTCTCATTATTTATGAAGTTCTCCAAGCTGTGGAATACACCCTGGGAGAAACGCAAGAAAATGGTTTAAAACCAAAAGGGGTTGCGTTTAGGACAGTTACACAGGATAGCTAGGCTTATGAATTAAGGTACTGCATTGTAAAATATAATTTCAATAATCAAACACACAAAAAACGTCAGTAGAGGCTATAAAAGGTTCAATTTACTCGGCCAGTTGCTGAAATTCGTCCGTGAATTCCCCCCTGACCGATGGGTTTTCCCGTCACGCAGGCTCTTGCATTGATGTCAAAGTGACCTAGAAAATAATGATTTAACAAGAAGTTGTAACCAGCCAACGACATTTTTAAATCGAAAGGCACCTATAAATGCATTTACCACGAATGAGATAATACTCCGCTCAAAGGTTGAGTGTACATGCGCGACAAAAGTATTGAATAAATTCATTTTAAGCAGAACCATTTTACACTGAATATTCTGCTGTAATACACTGCGGATATCTCACAAACGAATACTGTGTAAATCTAATTTATCGAAAGTGTTAATAATATCTTTTGAACGGTAAAATGCCGACAGTTCAACATTTTTTTACGAATACATTTTCAGTTTGAGTTTATTAGAGACTGCTTAGTCAATATTGGTATACTTTCACGTCGGTTACGCAAAACAATATTTAAATAACCAGTCCAACGTACCGAGAGTATTTATGTAGGTATCCGAGATCCATGCCATTTCACGTTCTCCGGTACCCATATCTGGGGCAGGAACATCACATGAAGGACCTAAAGTTATCACCCATTACAATGAAGTACAAACCAAGAAAGCCTTTTTTTGCAAGCTCTAGAGTGAAACGTCGAGTAATTTTTTCTAGCTCGCAGACTGAATACTTTTTCGGATCAATTCGGAGTCCAGCCTTCGCACCACCAAAGGGTACGTCGACGACGGCACATTTGAAAGTCATCAGAGAAGCGAGAGCCATGACCTCACCCCTATCACAATCCTGACTGTAGCGAATACCTCCTTTGCAGGGGGTTCTGTGATGACTATGCTGCGCTCTCCAACCTTGAATCATTTCATATGTGCCATCATCACGTTTGAAGGGAAAGGAGAGTTCAAAAACGTTGTTGCACGGCTTAATCGAAGCCAAGAGCCCTTTCACATACTTCTCCTTTAAATCCGATGGACCCTTCCATGGAAGTTCAACGATCAGCTTTTCCTGGATGTGTGTTGCAGCATGGTCATAAAAGAAGCCGACCATTTCGCGGAAAGGCAATTCATTTGTATTTGTGGAATATCGAACCACACTCGAAAGATTCGTACTTGCTTTAAACAGGACACTAGCCCTCCATAAAGCTGAATGAGATGCCATCAGTAAAATGGTTTTGAACAAGCACACATAGTGGCGGGAGTTATTTATATGAGACAATTAATCATGCTACGTTTCCTATTGGCCATTTCTGCTGTCCGCCAATTGGTTTATTTCTCCGGCAGGTTCCAACCAAGTGTAGCGACCCCACCTGAACCATGTGTGTTTTGTTGGGCTAACCCCCG